CAGGAAGCATTTCAGGACATTCCCTCTCAGGGTTAGTTAACAATGAACGCTTTCGAGCTGTGAAGTAGGAACCGTGGGACATTAACATGTAAAAGTCTGTGAGTAGAGAGATGTGCAAATGCTATAAGTGTAATGAATATAGGAACCATTCTCTTAATAGCAAGCTTCTGGTTCACAGAAGGAAAAGGAGAATTAAATGAGAGTTCTGCTACTGAGAAAAAAGGAACTTGAGTAGTTTTTACATTTTTAAGAGTTAAATTGAGAACACTTACCCACTTGTGAGAATTAATAATAAAACACATTTGGTTCTGTGAAAGGGTCACTTGGGGACTCAAAGAGGAAGGGGCACAGGACAGGGGGACCTCAGTCTTTACACTCCTGGTCTGACAGCTATTGATCTTTATGTCTTAGCCTAAGCCCTTCCACCAATTAGGCATTCAGTAAATGTTCATTTGAAGGGAAGAGGGGAAAATTAACCCCCTAACACAGGGAAAAGGCCTGACAATTCTAGAGGTTCCGAAGTGAGTTCCTTAGCCAAATTGTTCTGGTTGTGCTTTGCTACAGTTGTTCAGCGTATTTGTTGTAGCACTAAGTTATACTTTGAAAAGCAGACTCCTATTATGTTGCCTTAGTAGTTAGCTACTAACCATAGCTCACTATAGCTGCTTTGATCAAATCGGGGTTGCTATTATATCCTTTGGCTCCAGAGTAATCTCACTTAATGGGAAAAACCTGAGCGCTCATTCTTGCGATTTTACTTACTAGTATGTGATATCTTTTAAGTTTTGGGTATTAAGATATTTCCATCTGATTATTTTGGGGAGGTTAATCATCGACTGGTATTTCAGTCACTTCAGTTGCTTTGCCTACAACCTGAAAAATCCAAACATCTTTAGTCATTGCCTATGATTTATGAACAAACCTAGGAATTTAAAAATTCTTCGGTTTCAACTAGATTTGAGATTCTCGGCCAGAGACACAGTCTTTGCTTATAAACAAAGACTAGTTGGGCAGCATTACACTGTGTTCTGTCTTAACGTTAATACTGTAGGCCTTAGAATTACATGGCTCTTTGTTAATGAAATGCTTTCTTAAGTGGCAAGACCTCTGGAATTAGCTGTTCAGGATAGCTCATCTGGTTCAGTTGTGTTTTCGTTCAGGTAGGCCGAAATATTTCCTCTTCTATACTGTTTTAGTTCTCCATTGGTGTTAATTAACTTAGGAACCTTTGAGAGGAAAGCTTGGTTTCATCTGCTCCGGAATCTTGGCCTTTCTAATCCTTGGACTTGGCTGCAGCTGTGCTCTGCGAAAAGGGCTTTGACCATACTAACTAGTAGATGTGGGAGTTTGGCAAGTTATTTCTTCTCATCTTTTTTGAGAATTAAATGAGTAATGAGTGTAAAGGGCTTGGCCCATTAGTAGTCCTTCAATAAAGCTAGGTATTTTAATTACTGCAGGGATATTTTGGCAATAGTGTGGCAATTGAAGTAGAAAATTTATGTGCAATATGTTCACATTCTTTGATTTTTAAGTGTTTATCTATGTCCTTCTGTTGAATGCCTTTCTCTTTCTCCCTTACAGTTTGTTTAGAATTTCCAGTCTAATGGAAAAGTTGGTGTGGTAGTAAAAGATTGCTCATAAAATGTGGACTGGACTTATGTTTTTAAAGGTGTCAGCTAGTAAATTATTTATTAGTGTTCTTTACTATTTCCCTTAGTTTACTCAATGACTGCCTATTGTAGGGATTGACCTTTATTGAATCAAAGTACACTCTTAAAATTATGCCATGTGTTTTAAAAAGCCCATATTTTATTTGGGGGTTGAAGATTTGGGTAATGTGTAGATTTGATGTCTTATGTTGCAAACGAAAAGATTTCTTGTTAGGTGCTTAAGTAAGTATCTTTAACGGGAGGTATTTGAGCCCTTCCTGATCGTTAGTTTTGGCTGACAAACTTTTTAATGGTGGAGGAGCTGTCTTAGAAAATGGAGAAAGAAGTTCATTGTAGCCGAATGGTCTGGCACAGTTTCTGTGGATGATAGTGTAACCAGTTCGCTGCTCTCATTTGGAAATTGCGTGCTATTTATCAGAGTAAATATTGATATTAGGGATGTAAGCCTTTGCCATGTAGAATTTCTTCCCCTTCTCTCAGCTCAGAGGCGAGGAATGCTGCTGCAGACCTTTTATGCCAAATAGCTTACTCGGGTTGTAACTGTGCCTCAGATCCACTGCTCCATTACCCTTCCTTCCATTTCTTGGTGGCTGTCCTGTGCCACTGGTGCCATGGTGGGTGTATGGATTGCTTTCTGTCTTCCAACAGTTACCGAAGTGCATGTTTGGGATTTTGTTGAAGAAAGCTGGATACAGTAAACGGAAAGGATCTTGGGAGCTGCTTGACTGCTGTCTTTTCTCAGACTAGTCTGAAAGGGAACCCCCCATTCACTCTGGATCGGTGGATCTGAAGTACAGAATATTGTCCAGGTAAGCAATTACCCTGCATTGTTTTGTTCTGTGGAACTCAACTTTCTGAAAGAAACTTAAAAACCTTTTTTTTTTTTACTTGTTGCATTCATAGGGAAAGGAAGAAATGTTAGCTACGTGTGCTTAGTACTCAGCCTGTGTTTGGATGTGGATCAGTGAAGGTGCATGTGGCAGAAGCGCTAGTAAAAACTTTGTTGCAACATAAGAAGTGCAGTTATTTTTATTATAGGCTTGAATGGTTTATGGTAATGGTCCTACAGGGAATTTTGCTTAAGGAATAGCTTGTAAAATATGGACAATAAATGATAATTTTGGGGCATTATCTCATAATTTATAGTTAAAACCTGGTCAAAATAGTTTCTGTAGTTACCACGTAAAGTAGTCTTTTATTCTCAGGACTGTTGGAGGGTCTTCTCCGGAAGATGTATTGACTGGGACAACTGTTTATTGAGCAGCTGCTAAGTGCCAGGTACTGTTGTAGGCATGTGCTATTTCTTACTCAGCTGGCACATGCTCTACCTGTATTTTGCAGATGGTGACATGAAGCCCATAGGCATTAAGTGCAAGTAGCCCAGGGCCCCACAGCAAGTAAATGGCAGAGCCAGGCTTTCGGCTTGGGGCTTTGTACGCGCCTCTCCGCCTGACTACATTTCTGAAGCTTGTACTTCAGCTTCGGGTTTTCAGATTGCCTATCCGCAAGAGCAAGGTTTACACTCGGTTTCCACTAGAAAGAACACAGGGTCGGTCATTGTGTGGGAAGGTATTTTCATTATAGCTGGTGCTCTCCCCACTTAATGAGAAAATTAGAAAATCTTCAGTCAGTTCATCAAGCAAACACAAAGGTAACGTAGGGAGTACGAGAGGCAATGAATTTAAATGTCACAACAGCTCTATACAGGGAAGTATCATTTGGTCCAGTGAACTCAAACTTGTTTTTATTTCAGTTCCTCTTTAGTTGTTATTGGTTATTTAAATAGCTCAGTAGCTTATTATGCAGACTTCTTTTGGACCTCTGGTTTGTTAGCCTTATAAGTAAGACATTGTCAGGCAACTCTCTTGACAACATGAGTTTTTTGGTACTTAATGTTCTCTCCAGGTTACTGTAATCTTTACAAAGTTCTTTTCATTGTAAGCTGACACTCTGACTTTATGATCCTTCTTCTAGTTTAATTCTGTATGTTTGCTAGTACGTCTCCTACGTGAGCATTTTTATCACTTGTCATCCAAAGAGCTATCAGGGTGGTGGTGTTAGAGGTAATAGCAGTTAATACTTACTGGGCACTGACTCTGTACTGAGCACAATTCTAGACACTTCCTATGTCTAAACTCATTTTATTTTCATAGTAACCCAGTGAGGTGGGTACCATTATTTGTATTTATTGATGAGGAAATTGAAGCATAGAGAAGTTACACATGTTCAAGGTCACACATCTAGTAAGAGACAAAGATGAGATATGTTTCCAGGCAGTCTGGCTTCAGAGAATATGCTTCTAACCTCTGCTATTCTGCCTCTAGTTTAGACTATCATCCAGCGATAAAAAGGGTCACAAATCCTGAGGTCTAAACTGTACATTCTGACGTGAAGAAATCATTGCAAAGGGAAAGGAAACAATTGCTGTTGAGTATCTCTTACCTCCTCTAGCACTCCGATTCTGTTAGCCATCGGGACCAGCTACCAGGCTGTTTCCCAAGAGGGCTCACAGTCGGTTGCTTCAGGTTACCTTCCAGAGCAGTGCTGTCCAAGAGAACTTGTGGTGACAGTGGCAGTGTTCAGTGTCTGTGCTGTTCAGTGGGCTATTTGGAAATGTGTTTCTATATCCGAGGAACTGAGTTTTTAATTTTAATTTACATTTAAAAAGCCACATGTGCAGTTTTAGAACTTGCCTTCCTTCATCTTTGGTCTGGTCCTTGGTTTAACAGCCTTAGAAATCTGATCTGGTCAAGCGGCTGTTATCCAGGCGTGGGCTTACCTTAACCAGCTGTGCGAGACTGATGTGGAAAGCCAGAATTCCAGTTTATTATTTTATAATGATATGTGCTTGTTGGCAATTTTATACAAACTTTTCTGATAAGTAGATTTGCTTACTTGGTTCTAGTTAATATTCTGGTTTAATTTTTTCAACTAAGAAACAAGAAGTACCTGAGACTCAAGCCAAATGACTAGAATGTTCTCTCTTCATGTAGGTAGACTTTACCTACCGTGTCAGAGCATAGTCAGGCAGCCTAGTTAGCGTGGACTGGCTGGGGGAGTGAGACACTTGCTGGTCGGGACTGAAATAGCCTCATTCAGCTGTAGGGATGGGCAGTTTTTCCCTGTGGCAGAGCCTCTTCCTTCAGCCTCCCTGCTTGCTTTTACTTTCCAGAATCTTTCCGATTAGGTATTCGTTTTTAGACCTGTTAATAAATTCAGCTTGAATGCACTCTTGACTTCTCAGTCTGGGAAGCCTTTGTTCTCCGTAAGGTGCCTTTATCACTGTCGTGGTCCGCTTTGTGTTCATTTGGGACTTCAGAAGCCAGCTGAATTTTCCTTGCTTCCCTGTAGCCTCTTTCTATCGAAACGCATCTTAGCTTATTTAATTTGGTCCTAAAGGATGGGGTAGAACAGGAACGTACTCATAAAAGGCACACCTGGTGACACATGCTCTTTGTATTACATCATGTTATTAAATGTGCTTGGTTTCTGTTTACTACATCATTACTTTGGGACTTGTTCTTGCGCCTTCTGTTCTCAAAGTAGAAAGAGTAACAGAACTGAATTTGTATTTGGCTGCTAGCTTCTCAGGTGTGTGCAAGATGGATGGAGGAGACCAAGGCAGAGAGACCAGTTAGTTCAAATGATCAATGATTAGAAGGTGAACCAAAGCATTGACAGTGGGTGTGATGGGGGAGGGTGGACTTAACAGAGATGTCAGTGGTTAGGATCTACAGAACTTGGAGATTGCTTATAAGAGTAGGACACAGATGCAATAGAGGATAAATTGTAGATTTTGGCGTGGGCACCAAGATGTATGCTTTTTTCTTTTCCAAGATAGGGAATACTAGAAGAGCAGGAAAGAATGAATTCAGTTTATGATGAATTTTGAGTTGCCTAATGGTGAATCCTCTAGGAGGAGAAGTGTCTAGTAGGAATATTGATCTGGAATTCACCAGAGAGAGCAAGGATAGAAAGATGTGAGAGTTTTTTTTTTGTTTTTTTTTTAGATGTGAGAGTTTTTATTTAGCCTCAGTGGTAGCTGAGTTTACTTTTTTTTGTTTGTTTGTTTGTGTTTTTTTTTTAGATGTGAGAGTTTTTACTTAGCCTCAGTGGTAGCTGAGTTTACCTAGAGTTGTAAGGTTACTCAGAGCACAGCTTGAGGAATGTGTGTATCCTGGTATGGGAATGCCACTTTAAAGGAATGGGCTGCAACTCAGGTCATAAGATCATATTTGATGTTGGTCAAGGGGTTGGTTATCACTCTCTTCTTTCCATCTTGACCCGGGAATTCTGGTCAAACTGTTTCCAGTCAGCAAGTGAGTCCATTTGGCTTGGGTTGTGGTTTTCTTTTCCACTGTAATGGTTTGTTTAATTGATAGAGGTACTGTTTTTGAAATGGTTGTGTTTTTTTTTTAAACTCCATGTTATAGCCATACATCTTCTGTGCATTTATGCAAATTCAATTTTCTGTATCTGGTGATAAAAACAAGGGAAAAATAACCTAAACAGTGAAGGTTCTGGATTAAGAGTGAGGTGGGAATGGAAATCTGCTCTTCCCTCAGCCTGTCTCAGTTCCCCAGTGCTTCTCACCGAGCTGTGATGAGTGTGAGTATGGTATTTTAAAGACACACATTTTTAAATATCACATGAGGCCTGAGTGCCGGCCAGATATTTTATCCACCAGTCAGTGGAAGAAACAGTGAACTGTTCATGTGCTGGAGTGAAAATGAGCTGTGTTGGAATTTTTGAGATGGTGTGCGGGTCTAGTGTGGCATATATTTAAGGCCAATTTTTACTATGTGCTATTTTCACCGTGTGCACTGACTTCATCCCCTAATTCCCAGGTGAGCTGTAATTCCACTGTAATTAGGTTTGGTAATGAAAGCATGGAGATATGAAGAGTCCATTACAGCTACAGTCCATCACTACTTGAGAAATATTTGGAATACATTCTGTCTGTGGTACAGAATTCGTGAGGTACTGTATCTCCAACTACTCAACCACATTATTCTGTACCTTGATTTTTTAAAAATGTAAATTATGACATGGTCATCTTTCATACCAATTCCCAAAGAGAACTCATATTTCTTGAGTAGATCATTTAAAAGCTGCATGCTGACTCATGGTCTGTGCTGTAATTTGTGAAACCAATCTAGACTGATACACATATGTATAGGCTATTTCCAGTGTTTACCTATTACCTGTAATGCTGTAAAGAATAATGTAGTGTATATGTCATTTCACATGGAGGGGTATTCAGGACAGATTCCTACCAGTGAGCATCCCTGGATAGGTGCTCTTCAAAACCCGATAGGCATTACCGCATTGCCCTCCTGTCACCGAGCAACAGTTTCCGCTGTCACAGGCTTTGCTTGCCAGTGCTCAGATCCTGACACTCTCAGGATGTTATATGAAGGTTAAGCTAAATGCTTTGTAAATGATTTTCTCTTTTATCCCTCATAACTTTTATTATTAAAAATTTCATGTATGTTGAATTGGAGGGAAAAAAACCCCAGTACAACAAACCCTATATACTCTCCATGGAGATTCAGTAATTGTTAACATTTTGCCATATTTGGGTCCTTTATCTGCCCTTCCCTCCCTCCCTCCCTCCTTTCTATCTATCTGTCTATCTATCTATCTATCTATTTATTTATCTTTATTGATTAAGGTATTACATATGTGTTCTTATTCCCCCATTGCCGCCCCCCACCCCTGCTCGGGCCCTCACCCCCCTCAGTGTATGTGTCCATTGGTTATGCTTATATGCATGCATACACGTCCTTTGGTTGATCTCTTCCCTTTC